TGGGTATGGGGAGGAAAGGAGAGTCGGGGAACAGCGAGGCACCCTTGTGTTTGTACTTCTGTCTGGACAGGCCTCGCTAGTCGGGCCCTCGGAAATGGGTCTCCCCATATGTAGTCCTTTTTTTCCATAGGATAATCTAAGCCTGCGGATACCGTACCATTTCCTTCCGTGATAATACAGAAGAGCAACCCAAATTTCCATGAAACTTGGCAACGCAGTTTTCAAAGTGTTAGGTAGTGTGCCCCTTATGACCCTCCCTTTAAGCCCAGGACCGTGCTAGATGCTAGGGAGAAAAACAAACACAGCCCTTGCCCCCCACCAAGGGCTTCGGACATGTACCCATAAGTCGATAGGAATATATACAGTAATTGGAGGTGCCTTCGGTGGGAGGTGGCCCCTGAGTGTGCTCTGGGAGGAGGCGGAGGCAGAGGCGAAGCAGGCATGCGTTCTGTGCGTTGGAAGCAGTTTGTAGAGACATGCAATGTGATGAGAGAGAACGTCCGCTCTTGTAATCAGTGACCTGGGAAGGCCTCTTCCCACTCATCCCAAACTTTGGAAGCTCGATGGAAGGGTTTTTTGGCCCCGGAACTTGTAAATCTGCGTGAGCTTTGGGGTCTCCAGTGCTCCGAGTTCTCCGAAGCCTGGCTTCTCTAGAGACACAAGGAAAACTGTGATGACCACCTGTCTGCACTGTCCTTGGCTTCCCTTGGATTTGGGTGAGTCCGGCATGGCCGTGAATCTGATTTTGAGCTCGTGCCGGCTCTGATGTTCGTAGCACGGTTCCCAGGGAATTTCACAGCGTGTCCCCAAGATCAGCCCCGGCTTCAGCTTTGGCTGAGCATGGCTGCCTGGTGAGTTGCTCGGCGCTGGGCTTGTCCCGACAGGCCCGGCTTTGGACAGGATGCTCAGCCCTGGTACTCTGCTCGGTGTTGGAGCCCTGGAGCCTCTGAGCTCTGGGCTTGGAAATCGGTAAAAGCCAGTGGCTCCAGTCCAAGAGCTGAGTGCTTTCAGATGCTCCGCTGGGCCTTTGATTAGTGAAAATGATTCCTGTAGAATTCAGCTAATTTTCCCTTTGTCCTCATCCAATTTAGAGGAAGCAGCCCGTCCGCGCTCAGCCGGCGGGTTGCTCCTTTTTTTAACCGTTTCAAGATTTTTTTCCCCTCTTCCTCTGGTTGGTGTAAGGAGAGACGCGATTTCTCCAGGGCATGTGGGGGATTCAGAAACACAAAAACAGGCCAGATTCCGTATTTAGCAGAGTCTTAGAACTGGATCTCTGAAGACAACAAAGGGCCGTCTGTGTGGCTTGGACACGCTCCGGCTAGGAAGTGCGTGTGTAGCGCAACTGCTCTGCTGTCCCGCCCTCCCGGCCAGAACGGGTCCCCTGGGGAGACCCCGGCTCCAGGGAGCCCCAGCGAGCCCGAATGCCTGGGATTCCTTCTCCCACCCAGAGATGGGCTTCCAGGAAAGGCTGTGAGTTTAAGTGTGTTCAACGTTAAATTCTCGTGGGTTTCCCATCAGAGATTGTTCCCACAGGAGAACACGTAGCGTTGTTGTCTCATTTATGAAGCACCAACTGAGTACAAGGTGGTGTGCTAAGTGCTGGCGATAAAACATCCCCTCCCCCTCAAAGAGCCTATGTTTGTGACCAACCAGCTGACCGACAGGCATTGAGTAGGCGCCACCTGTGTACCAAACACCAGATATTGCTGGATACTGGAGACGCAGAGACAAAAATGAAACAGGTTCTTCCCACAAGGAGTTTCTAATCTATTGGAAATTAAGCTTTCAGTCAGTCAAACAACAAATGTTTATTCTCAGTTGTGTGCCAGGCACCGTCCATTGTGCTGCCCTCTGTTTAATCAGGGATCAGTGTAAACCGTCACGAAAGTTATTCCTCGTTGGCCGGGGAGGGCGGTGGTTTCCGAGGACGGGGCCGATGTGGCGCTTTTACCAGGAGCCGCAGTAATTAATGAAAAGTCACCTCAAGGGCTTGGCAGGAGAAAACGAGGACCAGATCCTGAACCCTGGGATTAAAATCTTAAATAATAATAATGATAGTAATGTTATTGTCGCTCAGTAATGATACTTATGTAGCGCTTACTGTGTGCTAAGCACTTTACAAATATCATCTGATCCTCACAACTCCTTTGGAGGTAGGTGCTGTTGGGACCCCCATTTTATGGGTGAAGAAACTGAGGCTCAGAGGGGAAGGTTCCCTGCTCCCTCACCGGGCAGCTAGTGGAGCATCAGACCTAGGGTGGAAACCAGGGTTTCCCAAGTGCCAGCCAGTTGCTGAGTGTTAATTGGCCAGCGTTTAGCACAGTGCCTAACACATAGTAGGCGCTCACTATTATTATCAGAGCTAACACAGATAGCTTGCGTTTCTTTAGGATCTCAAGGTGCTTTGATTCACTGCCTCCGGACAGTTCTGTGAGGCAGATCATTCAGTCAGTAAACATTTAACACCTACTATGTGCTGAACACTGTTATTAATGCCGGGGTAGATGATATCATCGGCCCCATCTTGGGAAGCTGAGATTCACTGAGGTTCAGTGATTCGCCCTGGGTCACTCAACTAGTAACTGGCCAAGGAGAGATTTGAACCTGGGTTTTCCTGAGTCTTTCAAGGCTGTTGTTCATCCAGTGTCGACCACGTACCCTCCACCATGTTCTTTAGGGGTTCGATCCAACAGGAGAAGAGGAAGGCAGAGGGATAGGTAAAAGTTCCAGAGAGACAGAGAGAGAGAGATTGGTTGAATGTGAGGAAACTTAAATAGCCTCCAGTAGGGTGGGCTGCCTTCTTGGAAGTTGTGGGATCCTGCCCAGCCCCAGCATCCTTCTGTGGGGATCTCCAGTCAGAGGGTGGATGATGACCACACTCTTGTGTGACGTAAGCTTAGGGTTCTGGTTGGATTTAAGACCTGAAGCCACATCAAGAAGTATTTATTAAGCACTTACTGTGTGCTTAATAACTGTGCATTTTAAAAACTTTCCTACCTGATGTCCTCTGATCCTGTGGGCCCCCGTTCCCCCATTTCCTTGTGCTCTGTGACTGGAGGCCTCCCCTTCTTGGGAGTTTTTTTCCTAAATCCACCGGTAGGTGAGATTAGGTGATTTAAGGTGGCTTCTCTTTCCAAATCCTCTGTTTTTGCTTTTGATGTATCCTAGGAAGGGATGATCTGCATTTTTTTAAGTACCATGTTGGAAGGGATTTTTGACTTGGGGGCATTAACCAATGAGAGGCTTTTGGTGGCCGACCATGTGACGTGGTGAGCATTTGGGTCAGAGATAGCGGCCAAGGCACTGGGGCCGTCGGCAGGTGTCAGCATTAATGAGCTTTAACAGATTTGTGGGTCCGGTGCCCAATCCGACCCGCCCTCAGCCATTGCAGGACTCGGGGCGATGCTCTCCCTTCTGGAGCGCTTTAAGGTAGATGTGCCCGTGTCACGTGTGTGAACCAGCAGGAGCCAGATTCCCCTTGCCATCGAGGGGGCTGTGCTACATGCCCCTGCCCCTCCTCTTCCTTGCTTCCAACCACAGACACGGACCCCATTCGCCTCAGAAGAACTCTTTGAGTATTACATTACGGTGATGTAAACAATTACTTTGTGCCCATGATGAGTGTGTCTGAGCCACCCAAGGCATTGCTTTAAAGGGGCAGATCGGGGTGTCAGCAGCCGGTCCCCCGTCCCCCCAATTGAGCTCCCAGCAACTGCAGGTGGAAGGCCATTTTCTTGAAACAAACAACAAACCAGTAGTGCGTTCCCTTGAAAGAATTTGTGCTTTACAAAATTTGCTCCTCGTTAACAAATTATTAATTAGAATCCTGAAGCAGAGGAAACAAGTCGCTGTGAGTTTGTCTGCCTCCCTGGAGTCGGCATTTATGGAATTACCTCTGAACCATATCTGTCGGCTGGCAGGACTTCATTATCTAGGGAAGCCAGGAGCTCACCCTGTGCAAAATCAGTGCATGGTGGAGGAGGCTGCAAGATCCCCAAGTTGGAAAGCCTAAAAGTATGGAAAGCGAAGTGGGATGCAGAAAAGAGCCCTCCTTCCTCCCTCTCCGGGACCTTTCCTAGGGTCCGAGAGTTCCCGATCCAGGTGACACCTCCACCATTTTCCTTCCTAGAAGGCTGTTTCTCAGGCCAACAAGGACAAGAAGTTTGGGGTGGTTTTTTTTTTCTGTTATTTTTAAATAGAAGAGAGATGCGGGGGAACTTTTCTGGAGTAAATGAGGCCGTTCCCAGTGGATCATCCCCCCAACCCCAGCTTATTTTCATTCTCCTGGCTTGTGGGGTGCCTTGTGTCCGTAGGGCTTCTCGTCCAGTCCTGTCTGCCTGTTCCCATTTCATTAGCGTTTGTTGTTTCCAGTAGATTAACGTATCAGGGGGGATTAGGATGGAACTGACTTGGAAGCCAGCCCTTTTATTTCCCCTCTCCTTGAAAATGGGACAGACTGTCCTGAAAGAGCTGCTGGGAGGATGGGGAGTACTGGGAGGGGGAGGGGTGCCTGCATTCCATGAGAAAGTTGTTGCCCACAGAATTCCAGGTCTGCTCGGGTGGGAGCTGCCACCTTCCTCATCAGCCTAATTCTCTGCAGTGTCACATGGAAAAGAGCTTTGCAGGCTTTAGCTCTTAATCCTCAGTGGGTTCTACCCAGAGCCCCGTGAGCCAGCGCCGTCCCCGGCTAGAGGAAGGAAGAACTGGGCCGGATTACGTGGGCCCACTGCTTTCTGGGACTGAGGGAGAAGAAAAGACCTTTTACAGATGCTGATGGGGAGAGAGGCAGAGTTACCAGGAGCTCTCTCTGTTTTGTCTACTAAAGTTTCAGAGAATTAATAATTCAGGAAATACTTTGAAACGCAAAACCACCGAGAGGCTTGCTGCTGCCCTCTCCGAGGGGTTTGCAGGCAGCCCGGGCTGCTTTAGATGAATGTAATTGAAGAAGCATAAGGAAAAGGTCCTGCCCGCCCTCCTCCGCAGACATTGTTTTTTCTCTAATGCCGGTCTCAAACAAGCCTGTCAGTATCAGTCGTTCTCAGAGCTGGGATGCTGCCGGCTGGTATGACAGCAGCTGGGGAAATGATGGCGCCCTGGATTACCCGAGACCGTCCTCCAGCAGAAGGAACTCTCTGACTCACGGTGGCGAGCACGTCTGGTACGAGCAGCCCAGCCCTCAGGGCCCCGAGCTCGTGATGCACGGGGGGCTGGAGCTGAGGCGAGAACCGTACCTGTGCCAGGACACGGCGTTTGCTGCTGGTCCCCTGAGGAAGAGTTCTGCTCCTGAATTTCTCTATTACGACAGCAGGCAGGTAGCAATGTCTGGACGGAGTCCCCTGCCCTCACAGGACTTCTACGGCGACCCATCCTTAGCAGCGGGCAGAGCCCCTAAAGAGCCTCCCTGCTTTAGGGACCAAACGGTTAACAGACCAGGGCTGCATTATGGGATAGCCGGAAGCCGATTGGCGTGGGATCAGATACAAGGCCGGTCATCTGCTGCTCATGAAGGCAGTCGCCTTTGCCGAGATACTGGGGGTAAAATGATCCCCGAAGGCCAGAGAATACGGAGCCGCGATGCTTCCCTCGCCAGGTATGGAGCCGACCCTCCTCTGAGGCATGGGGCAGAGGCACCGGTTTATCCCAACTGGCCTCTCTTGAATGATGTCGGCATGAGGCCCCTTGAGCCCCCTCCCGTTGCCAGGCAGACGGCGCCAACATGCTTAGTGGTTGACCCCAGTATGTCCGCTGTGGCTGAGGGGAACCCGGGGCTCTCAGCAGGTCCTGTGAGCCGCACCTACAGCCCGGCCCAGGAAGCCCTCAATGCCAAGGTGGCATATGAGACTTACGAGGCCCCTGGGCAGGATGGCAAGAGGAACGTGGACCCTGAGTTCATGGCCCTTCTGAGGACGGAAGGCTTATCTGAGAGCACCATCGGTGCCTTGCTCCAGCAGGGGTTTGATGGCCCTAACGTGCTGGCCATGATGGAGGAGAATGATGTCAAGTCCGTCGCCCCCAACCTGGGCCAGGCACGTGTCCTTTCCCGGCTGATCGGTCACTGCCGGGCCGAGCTGCAGCGCCGCAAGGGTCCCTCCTCACGCCCCAGGACCCGCTCCAACAGCTTCAGCCATCGAAGTGATCTTCTGCCCAACAATTACTTGGGACAGCCTGGCCCGGGCGCCGTGGTGGGTGGCAACCCCGTCCAGCACCAGTCCGTTTTCCCTCTTCAGGCAATCCCACCCCGCCCAGAAGTTACTCGGAGACCCTCCAGCGCGCCATCTCAGCACCTTCTAGAGACAGCCACCTACTCCGCTGCTGGCATGGCCCATCCAAATGCTCATTTCCCACCAAACCCTGGATACAATTCTCCTGTGCCATGCACCGTAAATGCCCGCTTGGGACCATCTTACTCCCCCCAGGCTGGGATAGCTATGACCACCACGGTACAGAACAGCCTCCACCCCAGTCCCAAGATCGCCTACTCTACCGCTTACACAGTGCCCATGGAGCTGATGAAGCGGGAGCGGACCGCCCCTGTGTCTCCCCTGCACAGCCCCCACAGCAGCCCCCAGCTGCTGAGAAAACCCAGTGTTCCGGTGGATGCCACCCTGCCACCTGCGGCCACCGAGAGTCTCCACACGCCTCACTCTCCGTATCAGAAGGTGGCCAGGCGCACCGGAGCCCCCATCATTGTCTCCACCATGATCTCGCCTGAACAAAGTAATTGCCTAAGTTCCTTAGCTTAGCGTGTTCTGCGTGGCAGGGTCTGTAGCTGTCTTTATAGCCGTCCTTGGCTTGTTGTTCTTTAATCTTGTTTTTTTTTTTTAAATAATCTGTATCCCAGATGTTTTGTCTGTCTGCACTCGAGCAGTAAGCCATGACATTGGGTTACCCCATTCCTTAGACTGAGGGCACTCTCTGCTCACTTACCTTATTCTGGTAAAGGAGATATTTTTTAACAAGCGTGATGAGTGTGGGTTCCTATGATCATGAATCTCGGGCTGGAAGGGGTGGGAGATGCTATCCTTTTCACTCCCTTCATTTTATAGATGAAGAGGGAACAGCACCAGGGAGATGCTGGTGATGTCCCCGGCTTTACCCAGGTGGTTTGCCCCAAGTCGGTGGGGTCCTCGCATGGCTCGAGCCTTAGAGGGGCGTAGCGATAAGGACTCGGGCTTTGAAAGGCCGATGGGGGATTTGTCCTGAGCCCTCCGTAACTGGGCTCCCCAGAGGGAATGCCAGCCTTGCTCTGCTCTGAGCCTGAGTGACATCGTTGGGTTTGCCTCCCCTTCAAAAGTCCTTTGGACTTGGGACAAAGAAAGGCTCTTTCATCTGCTGCCTCCTCACAGAATTACCAGGCCTGTGGAGGAAATGGTCTCTTCCTGGCACGGGGTGGTAGGATGTGAGCCATTAGTGAGGGTTTGTACTTAAATCAGTGATTATCTCCTTTTAATGCCCGTGGGCTAAACTAAGGAAAATGTGGGGATGTGTTTCAGATGTAGGTTTAATCTTTTAAAAGGTCTGGTCAGACATAGGCAGAAACAGGCTGGAGAAAGCAAGAGAAGCAAGTAGCAATTTTTGGTTAAAAACCTGTTCCCTCAGGGACATCTGTGATCGCATAGGACATCTTGTCCTTGACACGGAGCCCGCCTCTGAACACTGTGGGCACAACCTGGGATGGGATTCTGCCTCCTAGCTCCATAAGGAAACAGTGACCCAACAGAATTGCAAATGGAAGCCAAAAACAGAGGTCTTTGTTTCTGGCCGTCCCCTGCCCTCCCCACTCACTCATGATGCCATTCAGGGAACAGGCATCGTCTTCTCTTCTCTTCTCTTTTCCAGAAAAAGGAGGTTGTTGGGAAATTTCAAAGATAGACAAACTTGCCACATTGGGGAACAACTATTGAATCCCTCCCCCCGCCCCGTACACTCCCCCAGCCTGAAGGGGAAAAAGAGGAGTGCTCTGTCTTTGCTCTGAAGGTGAATCTGTTAACTTTGTCTACTCTGAATCTGAGCAGTTGAAACAGAAAATCATGGATGGGGATCACCAGGTTACCTTCACGATCACTTGTTAGCTTACTCAAAAAAGAAGAGGAATCTGCTGGTTTTTGTTTTGTTTTGTCCTATAAATGGCATTCGAGCTCTTTTCTCGATTGGGGCATTTGGTTCTGGTTTGTTAACTTTATTTTTGATCTGCCTGGTTCCAGCACTGGTTCTTTGGTCCGTGGGTGACCAGAATCGCTGTGATTTCTCGGGGGTCCTTCCTGTGCCCCCTCCCCGTCCTTCACGAGCCAGACGTGCTTTCTTTCCAGCCGGCTCATTTGCATGAGGACCACATTTGTTGCTGTAGCGATCTCATCTGATAATGGCCAGCTTGCAAAGCGGATCTGAAAACATATTCCTTAATTATGTGTTGCTAGGCGACGGGAAGGTTTGGTCATAATCACAGAAAGATTATCTCCTCATTGAAGTCATTGAAAGGTTTAGCTGAAGTAGGACCTGCAAAATTGCCTTAATTTTTTTCTTTAATTTGATGCTACCTTCCCACAAACATGAGCTGGCCGCCTATTTCTTTCTCCCCATTTAATTTGAAGACTCGTGGTCAGTCAGGATACATTAGGATAGACCAGGGGATGTGGGCTTTCATCTTTGTTCTCTGGCTCCATATCAATTTCGAGGAATTTCATACAATTAGAATAGGAAGCTCATCAGAGAATAAATCAATTTCTCTGTCAAATAAACCATTCGGTAGCACTTTTCAACCAAACGCCTGTTTGCTAATGCAGACAGACGCCGCTGCCGCCATGGCCCCCTAAGAAAGCCTCCGGCTTCCTCAGCGGTCCCCACCTCCCCCAAGAGGAGCTCGAGCATCAGGGTCACCTCCTCCACAGCCGCGGACCCACAGGGGCCAGGGCCAAGATATCCATGCCCCGAGGTCGCTGAGGGGAGGCGGGGTCGCGGCCAGCTGGGGGACTCTATGACCTGTCCTCCTGCCGGGGCTGGCTGGCACCGCCTTCAGGCTGGGTTGATGCTGGCGAGCTTGTACACAACCTGAAGGAACCACTACTTCTGTTTGATTTGGGGCAGGGACGAATCGGACAAATGCGGTGCCTTGTTGTGGAGGATAATCCTACCAGATCTGGAACTGGAGGGACTGACCTTCGATGTCACTGAATCTTAGGCCAGAAAACCGAGACCCGCTGTGTCTGTGGTCGGCAGCGACGTAGGACTCAGCATCTTTCATCAAGGAATTTTATCTCGCATCTTTAAAAAAATTCCCTCTTGTTCTTCGTGGACTTGTGAGCCCTTGTCTTTATTTTTTTTCCTCTTAAGTAAAAATGTGGACGTTAGTGTTTCACCTGTGCAGGGACCAGGCAGTTTGAAGGGGGACAGCAGCTTCCCCAAAGCACGTTCTGCAAAGAGTTCAGTGTCTCAGTGGTAGCCAGTGTGGACGGGAGAACTGAAGGAACATTGCTCGGTGGGGCCTCGATTATTTCTCTTCACTTCTCAGACAGCTCTGACTGATTCTTGGGCATCATGGGGAAGGGTCTGTGTGGCCGTGGTCCTGCCGAAGGTTTCCACGTAGGAGCCACGGGCCCATCTCCCATGCTGGGGTAGGCAGACGGCGGTATCCTTTCCCCATTTAAAATTGCATCAAGCCCACTCGTAGCTCAGAGAGAGCTGTTGGATGGAGATGTCCTGGCTTCTTCCTTTGGTGTCTGGGTTTGTTTTCATTTCTGGGTGGTTCATTTTCATTGTAAGCACTCTGCTGAAATAGCTGGATAGATGGACTGCATGTGTGTAGACGGGCTGGTGTAGACAGACGAGGCTGATGACCCGACTGTTCCTCTGCATCTTCAGCTAGACAAGAGTCCCTGCCTGATGCCGAGCTGACGATGGGAGGGAGGCCATTAGTTTAAAGTGATTCCCAAGGCTCCCATCTTCATGGAATAAAGTTACCTTGGTAACATTCTCTGTAGCATTAGACCAAACTCAGTGCCAGTTGGAGAACACCCGAGGTCCCCTTTCAGCTCTCTCCCCTGCCCAGTCCCCACCTGGGCCGTCGCCTCAGAATTGCCTTTCACTCAATGGTCTGACTGCATACAGACCCGCTCCCCTCAGTCTGCCCTCATGGAGCTGATCTACTCTTCTGGGGACAGACAACATGGCGCCCCAGCTGGGCCTCCTCCTTAGGATTCTAATGGATGTTGCCCTAGGCTGCATTTTTTAAGCCTTCCGTAGGAGAATAGAACTCCCCAGAAGTCACCTAATCCAAACCCCTCATTTTACAGCTAGGGAAACTGAGGCCCACGAAAGTGAAGGGACTTGCCCTGGATAATAGCAGTATTAAGTGACTGAGGTGGGATTTGAACCCAGGTCTCTCCACTCTGTTGGCCACGTGATCCACGAGTAGTTCTTCCCCTCCTCGTGAGAGTTGCTGTTTTCTCTGCCACGTTCAGGTTTGTCCAAAGCTGATGATGGCAGTGTGAGACAGAAGTGACCCCAGGCCAGGCTCTGGTGCCGATAGTGTGTCCTCTGTAAAAAGCGGCCATTCCTTTACAGCTTAATCTGAGTAAGGGGCGACGGGTCCGCCTCTCCCGGGTGTCCCCCCCCACCCGTCAGCCTGGGTCTGGGCCCCAAACAAGCCAGGCTCACGTATTTCTCCCAGGTTGGTAGAAAGGAGAGGTGGCAGACAGGGCCTGAGAAATTGGAGCGCAAGGTGGTTTTTCTGTGACATGTTAGCTGCCCCACACAGGCGGAGGAGTTTCTTGGGAGATTCTTTGTAGCATCTAGAGCTTGGAGAAGGGAAGGCACCATCGCCATCGAAGAGGACGCTTGGGGCGAGGGGGCAACATGAGCCACACCCTGGAGGCTGGTGGCGTTGGAGGGTTGCAGGCGCGTGTGGCTCGTGGCCAGAGATGAGGATGGAAAGGTACGAGGGAGCCATTGGTGTGATTCCATCACAAGCATTTATTAAGCGCCAGCTGTGTACTGGTCACCATAGTGGGTGCTGAGCACAGATCTGAAAAAAAGAAGCCATCCCTGTTCTCAGGAAGAGAATATGTATGTGCAGAATGCCCATTTGTGGAAGATCCAGCTGTGGGGCAGCATTCCATCCCACAAGCAAGCCCTGGGCCCCTCCAGCAGGGATCCCCAGCGTTCCACCCACGGTGTCTGACTCAGGTGGCCCCTTCCACGTCCAGTGTGTGATCAGTGATCCTTCATACGAGAATTGGTTGTTCCAGGCCTGGGCTTTCCTCAGTTGGGGAATTGAGGTCCCTCCCTCCATGCTGATTAGCACCTGCTTGGCCTCAAGGAAATGCAGGAACTGATTTGGCCGGCTGACCCCCCAGGAGTCAGAAATCCTGCCCCTAAGGGCCCTGTGGCGGATGAGGCCGCACTCGGGATGTTCCACTTTTTGGCACTGAGGAGAGGTTTCCTTTCTGTAAGATGAAGGGGTCCCATCCCTTCTTTGTAATGGGTTTGGACTGGTCCCCCACCGCTCCGTCACTTCAAGAGGCTTGATTCTATGGACGTGAGGCGCAGCTGACCACCTGTGCTTGGTCCCGTTCCCTCCGTAAATGTCCCGGTTTCTACTTGCCGCTGTCATCGAGGGTGAATCCTGGCGGTGTCCTTTACGTGACGGGGACAGCACTGTCTCTAGCCCAGCCTCCTCTGCAGATACCTTCCCCTGGATGTTCCACCGTCCCCTTAAGCTC